CCCCAGCCCCTCACCGTCATGCCGTTGACCGTGCCCAGCTCCTCGCGGATGGTGAAGATGTCCAGCAGCGCCTGTGTCGGGTGCTCCCCCACGCCGTCCCCGGCGTTGATCACCGGCTTGCGGCAGTGCCTGGCGGCCAGCTGGGAGCACAGAGGGGCAGGGCGGTGACACGGGTGGGACACGGCCACCACCAGTGCTGTGACAACAGGAACTGACCCCTGCCCCATGGGGACCATGTCCCTGCCCCATAACACGGGCAGGACACAGCCCCTTACCCCTGCCCCATGGGGACCGTGTCCCTGCCCAATGGGGACCACATCCCTGCCCCATAACACAGGCAGGACACAGCCCCAGCAGTGCTGTGACAGCAGGAACTGACCCTGGCTGAACTGGGGACCACGTCCCTGCCCAATGGGGACCAAGTCCCTGCCCAATGGGGACCACGTCCCTGCCCAATGGGGACCACATCCCTGCCCCATGGGGACCATGTCCCTGCCCCATAGCACGGGCAGGACACAGCCCCCAGCAGCCCCTGACCCCCTGCCCCAATGGGGACCACGTCCCTGCCCAATGGGGACCATGTCCCTGCCCCATAGCACAGGCAGGGACAGCAGGAACTGACCCCTGCCCAATGGGGACCACATCCCTGCCCCATAGCACGGGCAGGACACAGCCCCCAGCAGCCCCTGACCCCCTGCCCAATGTGGACCGTGTCCCTGCCCCATGGGGACCACATCCCTGCCATCGGGACACAATCCCAGAGCCTCCAGGAAGGGATGCAGCTTTCCCCAGTCCCCCTGGCCCCTGCCCCATGGGGATCATGTCCCTGCCCCATGGGGACCACGTCCCTGCCCCATGGGGACCACGTCCCTGCCATCGGGACACAATCCCACAGCCCCCAGAAAGGGATGCAGCTTTCCCCAGCCCCCCTGAGCCCTGCCCCATGGGGACCATGTCCCTGTCATCGGGGCACAATCCCCCAGCCTCCAGGAAGGGGTGCAGCTTTCCCCAGCCCCCTGGCCCCTCTCACCTCCACAGCCCCGGGCTGGGGGTGCCGCAGCACCAGCACGTCGGCGTAGCAGCACATGGTCTGCACGGAGTCAGCCAGGGACTCGCCCTTCTGCACCGAGGAGGTGGCCTCGCAGAAGGACAGCACGGAGCCACCCAGGCGGCTCATGGCCGCGGCGAAGGAGCTGCTGGTCCGCGTGCTCACCTCGTAGAACATGCTGGCCATCACCTTACCCTGCAACGCCGGGTGTCACCTCAGGGAGCTGGGACAGGACACAGGGCTCCCTCGGGGACAGGGACACACCCGGCTCACCTTGAGGATGTCCAGGCTGCGCTCCTTCTGCACCAGCATGCGCAGGGTGTGCGCCACGTTGAACAGGTGGGACAGCTGCGGGGACAGGAGGTGGCACGGGGGTGGCACGGGGGTGTCAGGGGCTCAGCAGGGCACACGGGGGTCACTACAGCCGCCACAGCCCCCAGACCCACCTGCTCCTTGGAGAACTGCCGCACTGACAGGACGTGCTGCCCCACCAGGGGATGCAGCAACGGCGACGTCTGGAAGTGCGGGGAGCGCTGCGGGGACGGCTGGCGCGGGACGGGGACCGCGGGGTGGCAGTGGCTGTCCTGGAGCACGGCGGGGTCTGCGGCACCGAGAGAGCCCGTCAGAGATGGGGATGGGCCCAGAGAGCCCAACAGCAGCCATGGGCT